TATTAAATAAAAAAAAAAAATAATATCAAAATACATGTGGGGTATCTTATAATTATTGTAAATAAAAAGAACACATGAACAATTTAAATGTTTGGTTTTTGGTATTCAGTATTTTTTATTCTCTAAAATTTTGAAATTAAAAGTAAAACGTTATACGCTGGATTTGAATCACTTTTCAATCATTTTTTGTGAAATACACTCGATGTATTTATTAAGAGATTAGAATCTTTTATTTTAATTATTCTTCTACTTTTAGTATTAAAAATTGTATCAGTCTATATAAATAATATCTTAATCTTTCACTCTTTTTATTTAGATTGTTTAAATAATAGATGAAAGGAATATTTATTCATGGAATAGAAAATACATAGATTGCTGATGATTATCATAGGTCACCATTGACCCATGTGAGTACGTGTTAAAGACGATTTAGTATCTTTGTTAGATGTGAGTAACTATTCTCTTCTTGTTTAACAAGGTATTATTTGCATTTAATGTTTAACTGATGTCTTCGTATATATTACAGGTGTGATCCCTGGATTATATGGAAATAATTGGTGTCGATGAAGAAAATTGGCATTATTTGATGGAAATGTGAATGGAAATGGTGTCTGGTTGGACGGTGTAAAACTAGAAGAGCATGTTGAAAAGTGGTCTATGGTAAATATACATAATCGTTAAACATATTTTTTAGTTAAACAGTTAAATTTATATAAATTATTATGGAACTTATATTTATTACAAATGAATATTATTATCAATTCAAACGTAGTTAATATTAAACAATGTTAATTAATTCCATCACGTTGTGAATTTAGTTACTGACTAGTAGAATACATTAAAAGGCTAATTTTGATCTTGGTCTTTTTTCTTACGATCTTCTCAATTATAAAAATTCAATGTATTTTTAATTTTTTACATTGATTTTATTACAATTTGTAATAAATATTCATGTATTTCATTCCAAAAAATTTTATTTTATAATGCTAACTATGCAATATTAATTACCCTAACGTAAGTTTCTTTTTAACAAGTAAAAAAAATATTTTTTTCTCTTCTAATGAAATATTCATGATACATTACTCGTTGCGTCATTGTGCCAGAAATAATCTAACGTTATTAAAATGTTTTTCACTTTGCAGAAGCAATACTAGAATTTAATAATAATTCAATTGTGCAAGTATTAAAATTAAAAAGAGTATACTAATTTTTTCACCTGTTCAGAATTGAGTAAAATGCAATTCTGAATGATGCTACTATTTAATGGAATTGGTTGCTTGCTCATTCGGCAAATGGATTCTCCGTCGAAATGGCATTTGTACATCTGCTATCGGTGCCATTCAGATATTACAATGAACCGTATCTTTGAACTGGACTTTGCTGTAGAAACTTCGTCAGCAATGCCAAGGACCTTTTGCCTCTCTGTATAGTGAAACGATTCTTGTTCACACAGAGTATGTGAGTCGAGTCACGTCAAGTTCATCTATGTTTAGATCACAATAACTGTGTTAAATGCAACAAGAAATCAACACCTTCTGTTTATTCATTAAGAATTTTATAATTTCCGAATCAATAATTTTTTAATGGAAAACGGAATTTAATAGTGTGATTAGACTGAGGCAAATTTAATCTTTAATGGATTAGCTAAATGATGTATTTGTTTTCAGTAAAATTGATATCAAACTTTAGTACATTATGCACTAAATTTTGAGATTAATTGCAAATACATTTTTCATTTATTTAAGTGATATCATTTAGCCAAGTGATGATACAAATATATTTATCATTTAGTGATATATAATATACGTTATATATGATACACAGATTCAATAAAAATGATATATGTTCTCATGTTTAAGCGGTAATGTACATACTGCAAAACAATATAATGTTCGATGAGAAAAATATGCCAAAGTAATACAAGTGACAAATGAAGATTAATCACAGTTTAAAAAAAAAAAAAAAAAAAAAAACGTAGTATTACGAGAAACTAAAGGGTCGCTCGTAACAGTAATTTTTTTTTTTCTACTTTCGCTGAAGACGAGACATGAAACAGCCACTTACAAGATATTAGCGATTTCGTAACCGGGATGGTCCTCGGGAGACTCGGCAGATCGAGTACAAAAGCGTAGAAATCGTGGTTACCTATGGCGAACAGCCGAATGTGAAAGCCGAATCTGCGAACCAGGTAATTTCTACCCCCGGTTGGATTCGTTTGGTCGTCGAAATGGAAGCCTCGAGGCATCGGTACACGAGGCTGTGAGCGTCCTTGGTAATTGTGACATTTGCTTTTCTCGGCGTTGTACGCGCATCGAGAAGAGCCGAGGAAAGTTGGTGACGTAATTACCGGTGACCTTGCCATTTCAGAAGAAGATACGGAGGATGCCTCCCGGCTAGCGCGTCTTCAGGCAACTTCTCTCCTTCCCTTCACTTCTTTTTCCCTTTCCTTTCCTTCCGTGAGTGCTTCGGTATCGAAATTTATGTCGCACGACTATTTTTTCTTCTTTTCTCGCCTCGTGAGAAAGCTAAAAATGCACAGGGCGTTCCGAATTTTTTAGTATTCAAGTTTTGTCAGTGTGCGTTCTATCAAATCAAAAAATATGATAAACAGGGTAAATCAAGATAAGAATTCGGTTCATGATAATTTCAATAACTCTTCGATATCAACTTTACTTAACACTGATAAAGGGCGACGATACTTTGAGATGTATACATAAATATATACATACAGCTTTATGTTTCATATTTGTATTTTGTTTCTTAACTTTGTAATGCATTTATGGATCTTTTGTTACGTGATACTTGTAGAACACACTAGACAAAGTTTGAACACTAAAATTCGGGACACCTTGTACATACCTTCATTCATAAACCATTTTAAAGACCGCCCAGTTTTCGAAGCAGGTTTTTAATAAGATCGTAAATCGGTGATATTAAGAATTTGTGTGATTAATCTTTCTTTTTACTCTTCTTGTGGTCTTCTCTTCCGTTATGTAACTTGTTTTTTATTGGCTGTTATAAGCTGTTTTATCTTAATATCTCTTAGAAAATAATATATTACATATATTTATGAATGGAAGTATGAATTTTATTACACAAGATTTATGCAGAAGAATATCGATAAGATGTGAATTCGTTTTCCTGTTTTGAGTCATTTAAATTTTTACGTTCTGTGCCTTTTATGCTCAACTAAATGATTAAACGTTAAAAGATTTCAGGTAAATGACCGACTGTAACCAAACATGGTCACAATTTAAAGCCAGTCAGTTTTGTTTTGGATTCGTTCCTTTAAAATTTGCTATCGGATATCGGATTATTCTCATTAGAAGTAAAAGTGAATAAATAAATATTTTTTAAAAGTAAGCTAATCAGATTGACAGATGGCATTTAAACTACACACATATTTCACTAAAGCTCAATTATGACGTCTCATGAAATTTATTGCAATGTTTCCAGATGTTTTTCTTTCGTTTAGCAAGATTGTTAATTACTTTATTGTCAGGATTGATAATTTATGCTTGCTTACGTCATCGATGCCAAGAGATAAAAGAAGGAGAAGATATTTATTGCACTGTATTTAAAAAATGCGTATTACAAGTGCGAAAATACAAAGTAAAAAATTAAAAAGACGAAATTCTAAAGTTTATCAATTAAAGATAACTACCGGAAATCGCGTTTCTATCCTGCCTGATCTCGTTGCAATTCAAACAATGAAACAACATTGATTTTACGTAATGTTTAAATATACCATTGCGTGTTAGAAAAACCTGAGTGAGTATCTATAATGCTGTATCTTTTTTCCATCTATTAAGTTTAATTTTCCTAATGCGGTAGTCTGTTAGTATGCAAATGCGCAGACGTCCAATT